ACCCTCCAAATAACCAGCATATGAACCACAAGTTAGATATACAAATATAAAACTATAATATCTTCCATGAGGGGTCATATAACTCTGCGGCGGTGGCGGCATCTGATATAAGTGCTGAGTCATCTGAAACGGTTGCAGAATGTACATCAATGTAGATGGTTGCTGTTGTAAAGGTTTCGGTGCTGCAACTAAGGACGAACCGGAAGCGTATGCTTTTCGTCCACGAGTCGGGGAACGATGAGGTTGTGACGGTTGACGTCTTTATCGACGTCAATGAATACGCCCGCCTCTTGCTTTCTCAGAAAGTAGGAACGACTTCTCGTTCCTGTTGAACCACTCGTAAAAACCATCTGCAACCGTCAAATGGTCAACATAAATAGGTTTTTTTATGAGGAATGCGCCCACGTCGATCCCCTCATATCATTACCCACTCATGATGCTTCAGCAGCCAGTCAACTTCTTTTTTTCTGCGTCGATCGGTGCTATGTAAATCGTCGAGATTTTAAGTGCTTTCAGAATTGACTGTATAAAACAAATTGGCGGATCACACGATCAGTGGGTTGCCACTTGGTAATCGCATTACAGATCAAAAGGATTACCGCCATCCAAACATCTAATGGGCCCCTTAAGTAGTGTGGGATACAAATCTTCATCTATTTAGTACAATAAGGAGCCAATTCAAACTAAAACAAATATATATAATTCTTATCAAAATAATAATCTAATTATATAACGATAATAAAAAATAGATTTTGTTATTTAAATACATACCTCTGTGCCAACCATTTGATCAATGAGTGGCCTAATTTCTTCTAATTCATCAAGTAAATCCCGATGTTCTTTCCTTGCAGTAGACCAAATATTCAATGAAATAATTTTTATTATATATTAAATAAAATCATTAATATATGAAAGCAGTATTGTAATTACCTCAATAATAGCGAGAAAACCAACGAGTTTTTCACTATCGGACATAAAAAGGACGTGATACCACACCTAAGACTATATCATAAGGAGACATCTGCCGATATCATTTTTCTATAGTCAGTAGCTCGATACATTTTCCTATAGAGAAATGCCAAAACTGATGAGCTCCAACTCAGTGTGTCAGCCTGATGAAAATTGACGAGGTGACGTAACAACATACAGTGAACTTGGTTGTGTGATTTGTCCGACATCAAGAGCCCTCTTATTAGTTGTAGTATGCAAGCTCATGCATACATTTTAACCTGCTCCTCTGAGGCGTCGCTACTCAAACGATTGAAAGTTGCATCCAACCAATTTAACGGAATTCAACCACCGTTGAAATTAGGCAAGACACCTCTAAGATACTCCTGGCACAATGAATGCCAGTCATCATGCGCCATCCCATAAAGCGCATTTCCATCTACCGAAGCCTCGAATGCATGGAAACATCCTCCAGCATAATTGTGCACTCTCCGCACAGAAAATGGAATGTGTGTGTCTTCGGTCTCCACCGCTCGACCAATGCAGAAATCAGGTTAGATTCTAGGTTACAATGCCCTTCATATCTTGCTACGTAACCGAATCCAGCCTCGACTAAATACGACCACACACAGATTGATATCTCTAACTTAAGATTATAGATAAATGAATATAATATACTGTCTCTCTCCTAATTTAATAAATATTATAGAAATTAAAATTTAAAATAGTACTAAAAATTTAAATAAATAAAATATTTATAATGATTAAAATTAAAATAGAATTTAAAAATGTTACCCTATTAGTAAAATGCCTCGATATATGATATTCATCTAAACGAAGCAGACCGCTTTCTATTTTATAATTACAAAAAATAATAAAAAATAAATATAATACAATTTAATAAAATACTAAAGTAATTTATTTTAATATAATAAAATATTTTACCTTCTAAATAAAATTTGACCGTGTTTGAGTTTTGAGAGGATTTGAGAATGTGGTGTGTTTGAATGAAGAAATGATGGGATATTTATAGGGAGATGGGAAGGGTTTGGCTGGATGTGGTAATTAATATGAGAGGTATGAACGGTTAAAAATTAATTGAAAAATGCGTATCAGAGTCTCAGAAAAGCGTGAATGATGATCCACGTCTTTTCCTTACGTGGTTGACAGCTCGGATAAGACACGGATGACCATCTGCGCCATTCATTACGTGGCGTCACGTAAGGGAAAGACACAAATGATCATCCGTGTCTTGTCAAAAAGAATACTAGATCGATAAAAAAATTTGAAACGGTACCTGACAGATAATTAATTATTGCCACGATGATTTTTTTTTTGGTAAAACGCCTGCGCTATCTTCCTTTGCCTGATTGCTTTGCTATACTCCACGGTGGAATTAGGGTTTTAAATGTGACTAAACAAGTCCCCAAGTAATTTGAGTTTAATTTTGAATTGAGTTAAATTTAATAAATTTAAATATGTGAAATTTTAAATTAAATCAAATTTATTAATATTTGTATTCGACTTGACTTGTTTATGTATATAGGCAAAACCACTCTTATTTATTAGAATAAATTATATTTATGATAACTTTTTTCCACTTGTATTTTTGTTTTATTCACTCAATTTTTAGAAATTATATTTTAATTATTTATATTATCAGTTTATATCGTAATGTTAACCCTAGACTCTATAATAATGTCATTATATATTAACAAAAAGGAATTAATTTTGAATTTAATCCTTAAACTTTAACTGAATCATGAATTTAGTATTTTTTTTTATATTTTTAACTATAATACAAACAAGTTAAATAATTTTTAAATGTTAAATTTTGTATGAAATTTTAATTTCTTAAAAATTTCAAATAAAATATATAGAATTCAAAATAAAAATTCCAATAGTTCTCCATTTAGATACAAATTAAAATTAAAATTAAAATTAAAATGGACGTGTTTTTTTTTTCTGTTAAATATATACTTTAACTTTCCCCCGATCCCCTTTCCTCTCCCATTAAAACATAGAACAAGGAATGTGTTGTGTTCTTTAACATCCGTTAACATTTGTTTTGTTGTTTTCCCCATCGTTTTAAGCGTAGTGTGTGAGCGCTTCCATATTCTTTGGCAGAACATGTGAAAAATACAAGTTCCACATCATGAAAATGAAATGTTACCTACAACTCTAATAAGACTGGTCAATATGCTCCAAACTTTTTTCCATGTTAAATTAATGTGATTATAATATAGTATCGGTTATAAATATTAGGGATGATAAACGAATACAATTTCGTGAATTTTATATTGTATCCGTTCTAATTGGGGCGAGAATGATATACCTTTAGTGGATAATGGGCGAGTGTGAATTTAGAAAGTGGTACCTGTCGCGGGTAGTGGGCGGGTGATGGGTTTGAGGCCTTACCTGCCTCATATCTGCCCGCCCACTAAATACCCATTAAATTTTGGATCATTATAAATTTAGGTATAATTTTAGGGTTTTTCATATATGTGTGTCAAATAACAAAAATATTATTGGTTTGTCATTTATGTTTCTAGGATTTAATTATGGTGTTTTATGTACTTTAAGATCTATGTTAACACTTAACTCAGATAATCATTGATTTATTTTATTATGTTTCTTAATGGACGTGTTTGTTTTATGTTTGTTGCTTATATATAACTTAAGATTGCTGTCAGACAGGTTTAGTCAGGTACGTCACCAGTTGGGTAGTGGGTGTGGGGATGGATTTAATAATGTACCCGCGCGGGCGAGTGTAGATTTGAAAAATTTTACCCATCATGGGTGGTGGGCGGGTGGTAGATTTGAAAATATTAGGTGAGTATGGGGATGGGGTATCCGCACCCGACCCGCCCGTTTGTCATCCCTAATAAATACTTTCAATTATTTGACAATTAACGTTCAATCTCTCAACTGCAATTCTTGGTGTTTGAACCCGTGTCCTATGAGAACATTAACGATTCCTTTAATCACTGAGGTAAGTTGGTTCATGCATGTACTCCAAATTTATGTAAACATTAGGGCCCTATAAAAATTAGAATTAAATCAATCCACCCAAAAAATAATTTGATTTGTTTTTCCATAATTTTTTTTTATAAAATTGCATTATCAATTATATCAATTTACAAATAATTAATTTTTAAAATCAATTAATTAGCTGAAATTAATAATATGCATAACCCAATATGAGAGCTAGGAGCATAAAGCTTTAAACTCAAATTACATTTAAAAAGTTTAAATTAAAAAAAGACATAAATATCTAAGACTTAAAAGAAGATTAATTACGATCCAATTTTTTTTTTTTTGAATTTAACACAATTCGATGAATTTATATATCAGATTCATTCGATTCCAACTTAAAATTAATTAAATTCATCCAAAATTAACGAATGAAATACACGCCGATTAAGCAAAACGCATTATGGCATTGAACAGGTGGGAAACGGATGGTAACTTGTAAGATTATTAACCTTGAACAAAGTTAATTCTAACCCAACACAATTTACATAATATTTTCAGATTTTTTAACCCATTTACGGAGGATTGTATACTGTCTACAATTTTTTTTAAGAACACGCTATAATTTCATTTGTTAAATTATGTATTATTAATATATTAAAAGTTATTTTTTTTATTTTAATCTTCTTAAATAAATGCTTACTTCTGAAATTTTTGAAATGGTTGGCCGCTCACATGCTGCGAAGGAGCCCCCTTCCTTGGCTGCAACTCTTTTTTGGACCCTACACTTATGCGCGTGTTCCTCACCTTCCTTTATCCGTGTCTGGGATTCTTATCTCTACCTTTTTTTCCCAGTCTACAAATAGTCAAATACAAATCTCGGTTCCTCATTTCTTATCTGCTCATCTTTTTTACAGTCACAACTCTCTTTAGCAACTCAGTTAGTTACTTTTCCCTTCAGCTGGGCCCTATCTCTGCCGTAGCCAGCGATATCAACAGAGCCAGCAATTGCTTATATTAATATTATTTCTCCACCGAATGTTGGGCTTCTTATGAAATGCTCTTCCCTCCCTTTCTCTTCTAAATATTTATTTGCTTCTTGTTTATCTTTGTTATGGCCGAGGTTTTAGACGACGGTGAGTTTTGGCTTCCGCCCCAGTTTTTAACCAACGATGACTTTTTCGTCGACGGGGTTAAGGCTACGAACAACACCAATATCCTTAAGGACGGTGAATCTTTTATTCCCTTCGAGTTCCCTGACGGGTTTGGGTCTTTCGGGCTTTCTTCGGATCTAAGTTCTCCCGTGGAGTCCGTTCTGGGTTCTACAGAAACCGAGACTGATGAAGAAGACTACCTTGCTGGGTTAACTCGTCAAATGGCTCACTCCACTCTCCAGGACGATTCCCGCCGAACCGACGCCTCTGATAATCCCAAGGTTTATTAAATTTTATCTAACATGAATCATGTTTGAGTGAGTTTATTATATTAAGGAGTGTTTCTTACAATGGTTTCTACATCTTTCTGCTTTGGTTTTTAGGGATTTGTTCTTTCTAGTTCACCACAATCGACCCTATGTGCGTTACCGAGCGGTTGTGGCTGCAAGGAAGGGTCTGGCCGTGGAAGCCCAAACTGTCAATATCGGGTTTCTTCGCCTCCGGCAACGTGGGACCTACTTTATGCGGCGGCCGGGGAAGTAGAAAGGTTGCGAATGAACGAAGAAACTTATGGAGGATTCAGCAACAGTGGCCTTTTCGGTCCGCCACCTAGAAAACATTGTTTGAACCTCGATGCTTCTGGCTTTTACCCTCAACAGTCACTTTCTCACAATAAGCTGCGGGCCACTCACGTAAGATACTCAAAACAGAGCATTCTGATTTATTTTCTCTCTGCTGGGTATTAATTTTCAGTCTTTCGTTTTTTGGTTGCAGTTCCAACAGCTGAAACAACAGCTAATGAAACAGCAAAACGCGTTGGTCTGGGGTGGGTTGAAGCAACTGCAGCAGCAGCATGTGGTCCAAAACAGAGGAAGCTATGGTAAAGGGACTTTGGGTTTGTCCCCATCTGCATGGCCTCTGCAACAGCAACAACAGCCACCAAACGGGTCGGGTACGAGGGCTGTTTTATTGGGCAATCCGAATGGGAAAAGTCAGTGTGCTGGAACTGGGGTTTTCCTTCCTCGGCGTGTTGGAAGCTTTTCTGAACCCCGCAAGAAGCCAGGTTTGTAACCATCAACATGAGTAACGTTTTAATAAATTCTCTAATTTTGATGGATTCCATCTTTTCTATTGCGGCAGCTTGTCCTGCTGTTTCGGTTCCTGCTCGAATGGCTCAGGCAATTAATTTGAATCTCAATGAGGTCGGAGCTCAACCCCAATCTCACCATCATCGGCTTCGAAATGGTGGGAATCTCGTGGGAAATCATAGGCAGCGAAATCTCAGGCCACAGCAAGAAATCAGTTATGAAATCCGGTTACCCCAGGAGTGGACTTACTGATGACTCATTTCATGCAAGTTTACTAATTGATCTGTCGGTTGGATAGAAATTTTAAGGTTATAAAAACGATAAAGGGTAACGAGTTTGATATAGGGAAAGTAGTACTACAGTGGTGTATAGGTTTTAAGATCAAGATGGAAATGAAGATGGTATATTGGGTTAGGGTTTAGGTCGAAAAAAATAAAAAGGACTTTGTAGTTTCAGTGATGGATACCACACAGCTAAAAGCTTTTGTTTGGTTGAAGGCTGCAGCAAGGGAAGAACAGTAAGTTATGGGTTTATTTTACCATTGTAATTCCTGGTGTTTTGAGTCGATAAGAGTTTTGGATTTTGCTGGAAAATGTTAATGAAATGGGAAGTTGAAAGGCTCCATTATTTTCTCCTTTTCATTTAAAGAAATAGATTAAGAGGTCAAACAACATTAGAACATTGTGTTTGGAAGTAGGGATTTGTATATTTTAATAATTAATTATTAATTAGAAGGATCTTTTGCTTTCCCCAAGATCGGCTTTCAAGAAATAATCCACAGTACTTCAAATTGTAATTAATGAGACTAAAAGGAAATGAAAGTGGAACATGGCGTATCGATGCCGTTATACGTGTCGAACATTAAGGTTAACTTGTCTCTTTTGTGACCTTGGATATTTTCTTCGTCTAATAGGTAAAGAAAAGCAGGGGCATTTGTTGCAATCACTGCATTGCCAGCAAGCACCAGCTGCAGGTGCTGGTATAGACTCATGTGCCTCAGCCCAGATGGTGCCCGCTACTACTTTATTTTGCGTGACGGGTTTTCCACGCGTATTTTTTTAGAGGTCGGTAGTGATGCCTGCTTTTGCGTTAGTGCTTTGATTACAGTACCACGTGGTGTGGGTCTTTTCGTGGCTTTTCATCAACAATCCTCTAAACATTAAAATACCATCGTTTTTGTTATTATTCAACTTCCCCCTTTTTTTTGGGACTCGATCACTGTTGAACCATGATTACATGCGTACGTGCGTGCTGCTAGCAGTGTGTAGTTAATGTGCAGGTGGTTAGCAGTTGGTTAGAGTTGGTAGAGTGGTTAGAAGCAATTAGTAGGCTGTGAAGGCATCAAATTCGTGTATAAATACTCTGCATATTCTTGTGTGATAATACACTTCTTGTATCTTTAATAGCTTCAAGATTCTTGTGTGATAACTTCAACATGGTATCAGATGCCATTGATCCTGTGGTGCAATAAGGGTGTTTCGATTGTTGAGTACGTATCTGCTATATGGCGCTCCCTACTACTCCATCTTCTGGTGGTGTTCTGAGCAGCTCCGATCATTGGGTAGCTGCTTCCAAAGGGTTTACTAATAAACGGTTGAGCGTGGTGCTTGATGAACGAAACTTCATGCTGTGGAAACAACATGTGTTGTTGACAGTTAGGAGTCATTGGCTTGAGAAATTGCTTTCTGGTTTGTTGATTGCTCCGCTTGCAACAGTTGTGCTAGATGGTGGTACGGTGGTTGAAAATGAAGATTATGAGGTCTTTGTGGCCCAAGACAATGCCTTGGCCTCATGGTTGCTATCTACAATCAGTCCGTCCTTACTACAACATTTAGTAGGGGTTGAGACAGCTGCTCAAGTATGGAAAACGATTAACAAGATTTTTGCTTGCAAGTCTACAACAACAGTGATGAACTTGCAGTATCAACTTAGAATAATTCATCAAGGAGATTTGGGGATGCGAGGCTACCTATCTCAAATCAAAGAGATATGTGATGCCTTCGCATCATGTGGTAGTCCAGTGCCCGAGCTGGAGCATATTGCCACAATATTGAATGGGTTATCTGCTGAGTGCAGGCCTGTTGTCACTGTTTTATCAGACAGCCGAGATTCTTTGACCTTAGAAGGGGTTGTGGCTGTACTCATTGATGCTGAAACTCAACAAAAGAACTTCAGTAGGTTTGACAATATCACTGCTGCTGCGAATGTCTCATAGGCAAAGGTTTCCATGGATGACAGAGCTAGTCGGTTTACTCGACAAGATCAAGCCACATCTGAAAGACATATTGTGCACAACAATCAGACTGGCCGTGGGAGAGGTCGTGTCAAGGTGCAGTGCCAATTATGTGGCAAGAACGGTCACCTTGTTAACCGGTGCTGGTACAGGTTCTATAAAACGTTCTCGGGTGTAGATGAGCCTGATGAAAGGAACGCGTTTAAGGATCGAGTGCCTAATGCTAATGTCTGTCACTTTAATTCGAACAATTGTGGGTGTGGAAACAAGGTCAATATGAGTGTAGTTGGAGCAAGTGATCAATAACGGTTTAAGCATGCTGCATATGTGGCTGCTACGAACTCGTCCCCATCGTCCTGGTTTATCGATTCAGGAGCCACTCATCATATCACGCCTAATGTCACAAAAGTTATGGATGGCACATAATATACAGGAGCTGGTAAGCTGGTTGTACCAGCTGGTTATAAGCAATGGTAATGATTTGTGCATTAATAAAATTGGTCGAGCATCTGTTTTTACTGCGTGTCGTGCTTTAATGTTGAGTGACTTGTTACATGTACCTTCAATAACTAAGAAACTGATATCGGTCTCCACGCTTGCTAGGGATAATGGAGTTTTTCTAGAATTTCATGCTGATCACTATGTTGTTCGAGATGAAAGAACTGGTGATGTGTTGCTACGAGGTAGAGAAACGGATGGCTTGTATGAATTCGGTGGTGTTATCTCTATTCGGGGTCGATCTGCTGAAGCAAATGTAGTTAATTCTAGTAATAACTATGTACTATGCCATGATCGGTTGGGTCATCCATCATACAAAGTTTTGTTGCAAGTTTGCAAGCAATGTAATATCGACTTGCCAAGTAGTTTTAATAAACAGTTGCTTCCTGTATGTGTTTCTTGTCAAATGGGCAAAAGCCATAGGCTGTCGTTCTATGCATCTGAAACTAAATATGAACAACCGTTCCAGTTGGTGTTTACCGATCTATGGGGTCCTGGTCATATTGTGTCAAACGGTTTTCGATTTTATGTGTCATCTGTTGATGCCTTTTCAAGGCACACTTGGGTGTATTTGCTGAAAAACAAAGGACATGTTGTTCAAGCATTTCACTTGTTTTAGAGGCTAGTTCGAACTCAATTTGGTAAGGAGGTGAAAGCTGTTCAGAGTGATTGGGGAGGAGAGTATCGATCTCTGTCAGTCGTGCTTGCACAGTGTGGAGTTCATCATCGTGTGACATGTCCTCATACGTCTCAACAGAATGGAGTGGTTGAAAGGAAACATAGGCATTTATTTGATATGGCATTGACTTTACTAGCTCGAGCAGCCTTACCTTTAAAGTATTGGTCATTTGCAGTAGTGACAGCAGCTCACTTGATTAACAGGTTGCCAACTAAGGTACTCCACGGTTGCACACCATTTAAGAAACTATTTGGAAAGCCTCCTACGTATGATCATCTAAGGGTGTTTGGCTGCAGGTGCTTCCCTCATCTACGGGTGTTTCAACCCTATAAACTTGCATACAGGTCATAACCATGTGTGTCTTTGGGCTACAATATGAATCATCGCGGGTACCAGTGCTTAGCACCTGATGGACGGGTGTATGTGTCTTGACATGTAGTTTTTGATGAGCGAGTGTTTCCATTTTCTGACTTGAAGGTGGGAAGAAAAGTGGAACAGGTGTACAAAGGCCATGTACTGGAGCGTCCTTGATGGTGGTTCCAGGTGCGCGACGTGTTTGTGGTAATGCCTCACAACCTGTGGTGCACAAGGTTGGATATGAACTAGTGGGTGTTGAGGTGATGCCAGAAGTTGAGGTAGCTAGAGCCCCTAGTAGTGAGGAAGGTCAGCCTGCTAACAGTGAAACTGTTCGTGAAGGTCAAAATAGTGGTGCTATGGATGATGAGGAAGTTCTTGATGACGTGACTAGTCAGACAGAGGTTGCACCAGCAGAGGCTGCACAAGCGAGTTCCTCAGTTCCTGTTGAGGCACCTAGACAGACAGAGGTTATTCCAGGTTGTTCCTCGGTTCACAATGAGCATCCGATGGTCACTCGCAGTAAACGAGGGATTTTTAAACCAAATGTGCTCCTTGCTCAAGCCCGGGACAGTCACAGTGAGCCGTGTTCAATTACTCAGGCACTTCAAAATCCTCAGTGGAGGGAAGCAATGTTGGCTGAGTATGATACATTGGTGAGAAACGATACCTGGAGGCTTGAACCATTACCGAAAGGGCGTGCAACAGTTGGCTGTAAGTGGTTGTTCAAGATCAAGTTTAATGCTGATGGTTCTGTGTTGAAGCATAAGGCTCGTCTTGTTGCGAGGGGTTACTCACAGGTACCTGGCCATGATTTTAGTGATACATTCAGCCCTGTTTTGAAAGCTACCACGGTGAATGTAGTCTTGTCACTAGCTGTCACTCGTGGTTGGAGTTTGAGGCAAGTGGATGTTAACAATGCATTCCTTAATGGGGACCTCGGAGAAGAGGTGTACATGGTACAACCACCAGGGTTTGAACGTGTTTCCATTGATGGGACCCAGTTGGTTTGTAGATTAAAGAAGGCCCTGTATGGGTTACGTCAAGCGCCACGTATGTGGTATGCAAAGCTGCGCAACTTCTTGTTAGAAATGGGATTCTGTGGTACAACGACGGATGCATCGTTGTTTGTTCGTCGAGTAGGTGGAGTTCGTACACTGGTGCTTGTGTACGTAGATGACATTATCATAACAGGTGAATCGAGTGATGCTGTTGATGAAGTAGTTAGTCTTCTTGGCAAAAAGTTCTTCTTGAAAGATCTGGGAGAGCTTGGATATTTCCTAGGTATTGAGGTTCGTAGATCACCGGAACAGCTAGTGTTAAGCTAACGCAAGTTTATTCAAGGGTTGCTGGAGCAGACTGGGATGCTTACTGCCAAACCTGCTCCTAAACCAATGGTGGTGTCACCGAAACTAAAGAGTGATGCTGGGAAATCGCTTTCAGACGCTTGGATGTATCGAAGTATAGTTGGTTCCTTCTTGTACTTAAGTCATACAAGGCCATATATTGCATTTAGTGTTAATCGAGTGGCTCAGTACATGCATCATCCTTGTGATGGTCATTGGCTTGCTGTTAAGAGGATACTACGTTACTTGAGTGGTACAATTGATTGGGGTTTGGTGTTCAGGAGGTCGACTGCAGCTGAAGGGTGCTGTGTGACTGCGTTTGTTGATGCAGACTGGGCCAGTAATGTTGATGACCGTAGGTCTGTGTCTGGCTCATGTGTCTTTCTTGGTTGTAATTTCGTCTCGTGGAGTGCGAAGCGACAGAAGACAGTGGCTCGATCAACAACAGAAGCTGAATACCGCAGTGTTGCTGATATGGTAGCCGAGGTGATATGAATTAAGTCGCTGTTGGCAGACATAGGTGAAGTAGTTGATGTTGTTCCGGTTGTGTGGAGTGATAATACGAGTGCCATTGCCATGAGTGCTAATCCAATATTTCATGCTCGATCAAAGCACATAGAATTGGATATACATTTTGTGCGTGA